GGAGCAAGCAAAGCTTAATACTAAACAATATATATATTAGCTGTATAATACCAGTAGGCCAGCTCTGATAGTATTTTTGGTATGGCTTCGCGGACCAAATGTAATTAGGCTGCGGGCCAAATTTGGCCCGCGGGCCTGATTTGACACCTATGATCTACGGCCACCTGCAAAACATGGTGGAGGCTCTGTCATGGTCTGGGACTGTATTTTAGCTAACTAACTGATGAGTTATGAATACAGATATGTAGCACCCGATTTTTTATCCACCATGCAATACCACTTGGAAAGCATTTTCCACCCACATTTCCCCAAACACACTGCCAATGAAAAGATTATACCTGGATAGAATGGATCAGTCGTGCTCTACTCTTCAAGGGCTGAGCATCTCTTTGAGGAACTTTAATACTTTCTGTTTGCATGTGTCCACATAAAGTAAATGGAATGAGATGTATGCATAAAGTAGAAAAGGTCCAAGAAAGCAGGGTCTCAATGCAGAGCTGTGCATGTTATTTATGGACAAAATAAATGGCATCAGTGTTGGCACAGTGACTGGATCTCTGCAGGAGCAGGGGGTGTGAAAAGAGGATTCTTTTGCGGCGATAATGGCCTCTATGTTGTGTGAGAGAGCAAAAGAGGCATGTAAGAGAGACATTCCAATTACAACACACAAACAGGTCACCAATCTGACAGCATGGGTCTGGAAATACTTAAGATTTAGCTCAAATGGCGCTAACCAAGAAGAAATCATATGTGAAGAGAAGTGTGGAATTCTGTGTGTATCGTGAAATAACAACTAACTTGTTCAACCACTTGAAAATGCACCACAAACTGCAGGAAAACCATGAAGGCTAAGAAGAACCTTGTAACGTGAATCATTAAAAAAAAAAAAATCCAGCTTAGTCATCCATGAGATCGAGGCTGGACAGCATGGCTGTATATCCATCCAGCTCACAAAGACACACTGAAATCATTAACCCAATCACATTCTGTTTGGTCAACATGTCCAATAAATACAGTGAGTAGGGAATGCTTCAAGAAAATAGTTGAGCGTTTTAATAAGAAAGCAGCAAAACCCGCTCTGTACACAAAAGCACCCAATTGTTGCATACAACAAAAACATTTGTGTCACTAAATGCACAGAGGTTAAACGCACACCTTTTCACTGGATGTGGCAGATTGCAACATTTTGGGAAGCGTTCACAGTGATGTACAAAATTGCTTATTTTCTCATTAGAAGTGAAGCAGTTTCTACTTAGTTTGTAACAGGATGAACAACTAAAATGAACATTAATGAACCTGCCCAAAAGTTAATGACCCCGTTTTGGAACAAAAAAAAGAAAGTTAGATCACACTAGATCAGGCAAACCTCCGTTCAAACCTTCCACAAGGACAATTACCATTGAACATTTTGTGTTTATGAAAATTTCTTTATGTGTTTGCTTGAAGTGAATTGTGTGTGGACTGGGAGGAACAGTCATTTTGTTTTTTGTTTTGAAAAAGTACAAGTATAAATATTATGTCAAAAATAGTTTCTATGCCAAATTGTTGATCTATAAGTGTCGTTTTATTTTTAGAAAATTAAAGTTCAAAAGTTTCTTTTACTCAAGGCTTTATTGGACAGTTCAGACCTAAAACGCCTGTAGTCTGCAAAAATGCTCCACTGTGCTGGGATTTAAAAAAATAAAATAAAATCACAAGGTATTTTAAAAGAGCAGTGAAGACAGCCAAAACGAGGGGAACGACTGAGCAAGACTGGATGAGAGATGGTGAGAGAGGGAAGAAACTGGAGTGAGATAGAGACCTAAAGCGCTCCAGAAGCCTGTCACATGGGGCCTGAAGACGCACGCCTCAGCACTCTTCCTCTCTGTGTTCTGTCCGCTCCTGACATTTATCTGCTTTATTAGATTATCTGGGCTACATGGCTGTCTCTGACTGCATGCAAGCACACACACACACACACACACACCTCTCAATTCATTACAGTCCTAACTGCTTACTTAGGTTTATGCCCTCTTTAAATTAAACCTCAGATAACCACGCACCTCAGAAAACACGGTCCCCTGAACGTGGACAGGAAGCTGAAACTAGCATACCGAGCAGGAAATTAAGAAACATTGTTTGTGAGTATATTATCATGCATGTGTGAGTGGTCATGAGGTCGGTTTTAAACAGGCTCATCTATAGGGAATGTGCTTCCCATCATTAGTAATTCAATTTGCGCTTTATTAGCAGCTCTTATCAGAAGCACAGACGGCTAAGAGCAGCATTCCTCACTCCATCTTCTTCCACACTCATCCACATTCCACCTTTCCTCAGTCTCTAATGTCCATCTTTAATTAGAGATGCATGTGTTCCTGTTGTTGTATCACATGATATAAAAAACTGAGGGCAAAGATGAAGATAAGGAAAAGACAAAATGATTTAGGAGGTGTGGGAAAAAGAGCATAAAGTTGTATTAAAGCATCAGAAAAAGAGGAACAGAATTTAAGATGCAGAGCCATGGGGACGAATAAAGCCTAATGTTAATAGTGATGGTTTTTCTAATGTCTTCTGACTCCATTGAGTATGGGAGATTACACAAAGATGGCCATGAGCCGTGTAGGGTACACACAAAATGACCGGAGGGTTCGAGGGGCAAGTGGAAGCAGGAAGGGGGGAATGGAGGGAGAGCGGGGTTGGGGCTGTAAAAACAATGATTGCTTTCCATCAGGTTAGGCCTATATTCTACAGTTCGTTAAAACAATCCAATTTGCAAAAGGATAATTATGCATTAGCTCCTTTTTATCTACTGGAAGGAGAGTGGTGCCAGGGCTTGATAGCAGTGGTGCTGCCTGCCTCCACCTCTGCAAATTACCCGCTATCGGCACTTGTTCGCCATCACCGCTGAATTGGGCAATCAATTAACCCACCCCCCCTCCTCTTATAGTCTGCCTGTACACCTCCCTGTGACAGCTTGCAACACAAAGCCCCTACAAGGATGACATGGATGGAAACTGCTGCCCTCTGCTGGACATGGCTTCAATTAACTAGCTGCTTTGTACCAGTTCTACATACATTACAAAGCAGACACTGGCTGGTAGAGTATGTATTGTGTTCACACTGGATCAATTAGAAGCATGCTGAACAAAAACTAAAACAGCAAGCAGAAAGAAGCTTGGTTTTGCCCATTATTTCTATTATCCTACATATCAACGATGCAAACATGATAAACTGATGTTTTCCTCTTACTGTTAGAACCTCTGGAGCACCTGCTCTGTGGTTAGCTACTGACAGGTTCTCAAAATGAACCATGGAAAGACTGGCTATTAACAATAACTGTGAGATACTATATACAATTTACAGATGTAGCCACCACCATGATGTTGTGTTTTCGGAGACAGCAGTGACAAAGTTTAGACAGGAACATGGATTGCCAAGGTGATGAACTAAGTCATGAAGTGCACTGGTGCGAGGCACAGACACCTACCTTGATTGACTGATTAATCAGCCAATCAGTAGTGCTGCCTGCCTCCACATCTGTAAATTACCGCTGCTATTACTGCTATCAAGCCCTGGCTGATTAATCAGTCAATCAACATAGAGCCTTAACAAAATGCTCCTCCCTGCTTCACAGGGGGTCATTACACCAAGTGTCTCTGCATATTTGATTTAGCAGATTTTTGAACCGGACACCCTTCCTGGCTCAGGCACTACTACATTGTAGAGTCACAAAGAGGTGAGTTGTAATAAAAAGAAATAATTAAATCACCCTCTGTCTAACAGAAGGGCAAATTAGCTGTAGAGACCACAAACTTTTTTTTCTATCTTTTTCTTTTTCCAGCAGCAGCAGGGTGTAAACATGCTAATTTCACCTCACATGCTGGCCTTCAAGCATGGATGTCTGGGGACTGTCTGCAGTTTTTGGCACTTCTATGTTGATCAATATGTTGATTTTGTATCTCTGTGTATCATTAATGGGTGGAAGGGTGGATGCGTGGATGGCTGGGCCTGGGTCTGGGACTTGCTGATCCTTGGCCTTGTAGGACGTGGTCATAGAGGGAGGGGATCAGCTCCCCCTTCCTGGGATGAGGGTACTAGTTGGTTCCAGGATGCTTGACAGGATGTTCTGGTATGGACCCACTCTCTTGGTGGTCTGGGGTGGCTTGGACTTCTTCCCTGTCTGAGGGGAGGTCTGCCATGTCCTGGGTGAGAATTCTAGCGGGGTCGACTGCCCATCGCCTCTTGTCCTCTGGGACTCCCACCTCTTGGCCGTGGGCACCCCATCTAGGGGCAGCTTCCTTCGCTAGCTGGGATGTGTGGCCTTAGGTCTTCAGTACTCTCGAGGGGGCAAATAGCCCAGTTCTCCAGGATCCACCTCTGCCTGCCTCTGCCTGCCTCTGACTCCTGGGAGACGTTATTGCGGCTTCCCACCCTCATTTTCAAGTACATTTTGTGGCAAAGACACATACACATTTACACTCCACACTCTCTTTCTCTCTCTCATTCACACACCCCACAAGAAGATTACACAGATATATAAATCAGCATTTTCAAATTTTTGTGTTCGAGGTCGTGTATGTTTGTTTTTCTTGCAGGTGTGGTAGACAGCAGTACATAATGCATTTCTATTTGGACTCTTCATATAAATTACATCTTTCCCTATTTTTCCATGTTTTTCTAAAACTAAGCATATGCCTAACCATGACCAAAATGCACACAAAACATAAGCATAATGAATAACTCCAGGAAGCAAAACAGGTATGCTTGCTTGATATGCAGCTGGTGACTTTACGGCTTGGAGTTGTTACAGCACCACCAAATGGCTGTAGAATATTACTGCTCTCAACCAAATAATGGGTGAGGACACGCACGTGTTTAAAAGAAGATTTATCACCCACAGCTATAAGATTTTCTGCGTAAACATCCATGTATGGTTGACATGTCAGCAATTAGTCAAAGCAAACTTTACAGCAGAGCAAAATAACAACTTTCTACTTTGGTCTGTAGTGTGTGCTTCTTACTTGTCTTTGATGAGACAGGGGAAAGCCGCCTCAACTTGTGTCTACCAAACGACACAAGCTCCCTGGTGGGTGTCCTCCTAACTCCTGTGGGAGTCCTGGCCAAAGTATAGATTCTGCCCTGGGGAGAGTGCTTCACAGCTGGTGGGCTCACCTTCTCTGATCCACTGCCACTGTGGTCACAATACAGCAGGCAGACACACAGGACAGTCAGGAGGAGTAAAAAACTATTAAACATAAGAAATCCTAAACTTTGAGTTAATGAACTCTGAGATGGGAAATTGAATGTTTAGTTCCAAAAAAAGCTGTTCAAAGTTCCTTATATCAACTCCGAGTATGTTCACTCTGAGACATGCATGTGCCCATTTACTGGGAACAAGAAAAACATCAGTGGAATATACCATGCAGGTCTAGATTCATATATTTAAACAGTGATTACTACAGTAACACAAAGTTTATCACAGAACCACCTCTTATTGGGGCACATCACCACGGTCATTTCTAACAGCACACAATCAATAAGAGTTTTATGCCCTGCAACCCTCGAGGCATAATGTGAGGTCTTTCTGCATCTGCATCTGATACCCACCTTCAAGTGACTACCAAGTAGGATTAGCCAGTGTTAAGGTAAGTGAAGCTATCCTAAAGATATCCTAGTAACCATGAATCTGATTGATAATAAGATGAATGTCAGTTACCCCAATAACTAAACCAGAGTTTAAATTAATGCTCTAGAACAGAAATCTCATGTTGGACTTAACAAATCCAGAGCTTTCACTAAACCCTCCTTCTCAAACAGAAACCAGAGGTTAGTATTAGGTAAATCATTTTCACCTTATCGGTGTAAACATCCTCCAAACATGAGCAAAGACACACTGAACGCTTGGCTGATCCCTACTGACAAGGATGCAGTATATATTAGGGGGTAGGGCAGTAAAAAGCCTTAACAAGAGCCATCATGTCATGTGCATTATTCACCTGATAGTAGACCTTCTAATAATCTTCATCCTGCTGCGGAGCTTGAACCCTCCAGGCGAGGAGGATGACAACATGGAGGTGCGCTGAGGTAAACTTAGGGGCACAGAAATCCCTCCTTTCAATCCTTTGTTACTTTTCTCAGCTGTCCAGTGGAAAGCAGATCTACGGCGGTTTGCTGTTGCTCCTGCTGTCCCTGCCACAGATGTACTCTGGCCCCCTGCTTTCCAGCGATAGCGGCTACTCTGTGAGGTGCCAGCAGAGGACACTGCAATACCTTTTTTCAATTTTACAGAAGGAGAAGAACCTGGTTTAAGTTTCCTTGTGGCCTCTCCTTTGTCCAGACTTCTCTGTGTGAGAGTCAAGGGTTTGGGAGATGGAGACTTACGAGATGTCTTAGCTTGGGCTCCTGCAGAGGACACCCAGCGGTACTTTGAGGTCTTGGCAGCTACAGTGGGCTGGCTAAGCTTTCGAGGTAACTTCTTAGCAGCGGTTCTCTTAGCAACTACAAATGAAGGGGGGCTTTCAATGGCAACTCCAGATTTCAAGACAGATGTTGGGGCAACAACTGCTGACGGTGTTGAAACAGAGCTCAGTGGTTTGAGCTCTGCTCCTGCAGCACTCTGACCCTTTACCCAAGTGAACTTTGATTTATTTGAATATAAAGTATTGACCTGGGATTTGCTGCTTTGTAAAGATGAGTTAGAGGAAGCTTGTTGTAATGCAGTAGAGAGACCAGCAGTGAAAGTTACCTGAGATGTTTTAGCAACAATCTGTTGAGTGTCTGTACTGGTTCTGCTTTTCAGGGAAGGTCCAATCTTTACTTGGGAGCTGCTCTGCTGAATGGCTGAGGTACTGGCTGTGGCTGAAGAGGCCACTTCAAAAGAAACACCAATTTTCTTTCCCTGCAGGCCTGTGTTCCTGCTGTCAACCCTCTGCGTAAACTCTGTTGCTGACCCCATTTTTCCAAGAGCATCACTGTTTTTTCTCTCTGTTGCTACAACTCTACTCTCCGTTGTGCTGCTTATATGTTCTTTTTTCTTCAGCTGAGATATCCCTGATGATAAAGTGGCAGTCCTGCTTCCCGTGCTGAGGCTGGGCAGTGACATGCTATGAGAGTGATGGACAGTGGAGGAGGCAGAAGCTGAGGGATGTCCAGCAGAGGATTCAGGGTTCTTGTTTCTCAGAGAGTACGTTTTCCTCCAACTTCCACAGCTCTGAGGAGCATAGAGTCTTCCTCTGGAGCTGGGAGGGTAGATCATAGATGCACTTTGACCTCGGCCCCTGGCTGGCACTGAAGATTGTGTGTGGCTCTGCTCAGTTCCTGTAAATGGTGTATCGCCATGGGTACTTTTATGTTTGTTGATGAGATCTGGAAATTTTGAAAACAGGCAAAAGTATTTTAAAAAGTCCAACAAAAATATGCAAACAAATAATCGTTAAAATTAGCTCTACAACACAATTTATGCCCCATTTCTCAATTCTAAGTTATGTTTTTAAGAATTTAATTTGAATTTGATTTGTAGTTTTCACCATTTACTGTATAGGGCTACCATCAGGCTGCTTAGCCTACAGTGGCCAACATCTGAAAATGTAACACCTAAAGAAAATCTCTATATAATAAAACACATTTTATGACCTCCATATTCTTGATTTCATTGTTAAATGTTTGACAACTTTGTAAGAACCTGCTGGAACCCAGGTGCATTTTATTTAACCTAATGTATTGTATTACTCATTCTTTTCAAACTAAATCAAAAAGAAAAGAAAAAAAGCTAAATATCCACAACTGACAAACTTAATCAGGCCAATACCAATCAACTGGATCAATAACAGCAGATACTGATAATCCACCAACACAGCAGCAGCTATGGAGCACCACAAGTGTCAAAGACATCAAAACAAAGCATTTTGTGATTTAATAATTAATTGTACAATCAAACATGAATTAGCAAATCTGAAAAAAAAAACGTGAACTTTTATTATGTAATTAGACATTAATAAAGTTCATGATATTGTTAACTTAATAGAATAAAATAGAAGGAGGAATTATAAATTAGTATTTCTGAATTAATTATCAATCCATTGATGAACGCTTTAAACGGAAAAAAATAATTTTCAATAAAAATCTCACTAAAAACATTTTTGAATTCAAAACAAATGTAAAGAGTGACTTTCAAATAAAGTAAATGGATTAAAAAAGCAAATTAGGAATACAAATGTGTTTTTTCTGACATTTAAATAATGACTCTGCTCCTCAATTTCAATTTCCATTTCTTACTAGCTGCTTAATTAACTATTACATTAACTACTTGATTAGCTTCTTCAATTAGCATTTCCATAACTCTTTTGGTCTCTGGTGAAAAAGCAATGTAAGTAAGGAACACAGTCTGGAGCTCTCTGACTGGTTAGAGAGACACAGGCACTGATAAGGAGAAAGTATTTTTTATTTGTTTTTATGCTTTTAAAAAAAAATGTCCTCACTTTATTATTGTTTAGAACAATCACATATTAGTGACACTGAAGAAAAATAATAATGGGTGAGAGGCGAGTTAATGTTCTGAGAAATAAAATTGGCAATGTTAAAGTTGTAAATTTCCAAAAAATGAAAAACAGCCAATTTGTCAATAAAAACAAAACGAAACGAATTTAAGAGAAAATAACTGGGAAAAATATATATCTTCTTTAGTCAATGGCATCACTTCACTTTTCCAGGTTAAGCTGGCAGGATTTCCACATACTGAACTCTTAAAATGTATGCCCTCCAATCTTGACTGACAACAACGTCTGTCAGTCTATCTGCGGTTGACTGTGTCCTGAGACCATCTATCACTCTTAATCATCTTTAACTCAAATATACAAATACAGAGGTAGTCAGATAGTAACCATAACACAAAGAAAGCATACAAAAGGAACAAGGAACATGATATTTTCAGTGCTATACCTAAAATATCATGAATCGAAACCAGTCAGAAATTTCTACAGTACCAGAGCCGGTGATATTAGTATAATTATTTTAAGGGAGAAGAAATCTTTTGGGCTTTTTTTTTTTCAAAACGTAATTTAAGGATTTAAGGAAATATCATAACACTTTTTACTCATTTAAGCTAAATATGACTGATGACTGGAAACATGACTGGAAACATTCAGATTTTAGGTCCTGGTGACCGTTTACTTCCCCAGTTAATTGTAATATAACAGTGGAACACTATGCAAATCAGCGTCAGAGCATACTGACAACGGAACAGGCTCATAATAGTCCCTCCTTTACTCGCTGAGTTTACTCTACAGATCCCTATAGGAAATCCTGGAGACTGACCAGTGTCAGGAAGGAAAGAACATTTTTCAAATAACTCTCATTACTTCCTTCGAGTAAGAGACTTGAAAAATCTGTAGCAATGAGTTTTTTATGCTTTTCTGGAAGAAAATACACTTGTTTCCCGCTCTGTCGCTATGCTATCTAGCAAATTGTTAATAACTATTTTAGTACTTTATGTAAATAAATGTACGACTATGCCTTAAAGTTAAGTAATTAAAACCAGGTTTGTTATGGCGCTGTGCTGTCATCACTAGTGCGGGGGACTACAAACAGGACTGAACCTTTATGCTGTTACAGGGAGCTGACACCGACATAAACAGCCATTTACTTGCTTCCAAAGGCAAACAGGAAGCATTCTTCAAAGGACACCAACGACTCTGTTAAGACACGTGAATACCGCTAAAAAAAAGTATGTTACTGCGTAGAGGTGGCACAACGCTAACTGTTATCCTTCAACAAAACGCGTACGACCGACAAGCTTCAAGCAGCCGTGTTGTGCAAAACAGCCTTTGTTAACCCGCCTGTAACAACTACAATTGTCAACATTTACCGGGAGAGACTTACTTTGTAAAAGGTCAATTTGTCTCTTAAGTGCTTCTCTCTCCTCCATGTTTACGACTACAACCTTTCGTCATTAAATGGCGACGCCCTTAAGAATGACGTATTTCATGTTGGCCAATCACAGTCTGAAGAAAGTCGTCGATGTTTATCCTCAGTATTGACTTACAGGCTTGACATTTAACTCAAAATGGGCCGTAAGAATGAGTAGAATTTTCTTATTTATTTATTTATTTATTTATTTATTTATTTATTTATTTAATTTACTGTTGTGGTGAGCAGAGTTAATTTTATTGGAGACTTAAAATGTTACTAAAACACAACAAACAAAGATGAATGTCTTCAGCTTTATCAAGGCTGTGGTTTCTCTTTGCATGTATATGTAGATGTGTAAGGCCATATGTCTAAATGACTTTGCCCAGTTAAGGCAATACATGATGCGTGCTTTGAGCAAGAAGAACCAGCTGCCTCCTTTCCAGAAACTACTTTCCGTGCAAAGGACTCCCATTACTGTGCCTGGATTAACCAGACTTATTCAGACACGTTAATTGTAATGCATTTTTAAATACAATACAACTAAGAGACCACTTTTCTGTATTGATTCTTGTATGGAAATCACAGTGAGAACAAACACAATGACTGAACAAACTATGAACCGACTTTCAGCTACAAAAACAAACAACAATAAAAGGAAGCTCCAAAGGCAGATCACACACCACAAGGTAATTAATTGCCCAGAATTTATCTGATATCCACACATGTATAAAAAAACAAGCTTCAATTTTCATGTACTACATGCAGTCAGCATTCTTGAGGCTGGATTGTCAGATTCAACTGACAAAGCCGTTAGCTGTCTGTAAGACAGTACTAAGGGCTTCATTTCGTAACCTCGCTATCGTTGATGCGCAGCTTGCTGACAACCGATTTGAAAACATTACCGTCATTTCGGGAAGCGTCTCTGTATTTGCGCTTTATAAAGTTTAGAATTCCCTTCGGGGAAGTAGTTTTGGGCCAAAAGTTTGTTCGTCTGGTCCAAAAATGTTTCTATGAACTGTCATGAACAAAGTACCAGTGACGCTGCTGCGAAATGAAATGAAAGAGGAAGTGAAAGTTAAGGCAGCTGATTGGACGTAAAACGAAGAGAGAAGACAGAAAGGAAAGCAATCTCTAAAGTTGCTGAATAATTGAAGGTAAAGCTAACGGTGGTTTCTTTATAAATAAATACTCGCTGGAGAGACTGATGCAGGTCTGAAGGTTTAGAATTATAAACAATGTTGACTCCGTTTTCAGTTTGAACTCTGCTTATTTGTAGAGTTGACATTGTAGCTCGTTAGCCAGCTAGCTTGAGTGCTGGTGTCAAAATTGATAATAGGTATATTGTTTTTTTTGTTTTGTTTTCACACCTGTCTGAACAACACATTTGTGCTGTGTGTGTTTTCTGTGTGTCTCTGTACAGTAGGTACCCCCTTTACATCTCCTGGCTCGACAACATGGCATCAACAGAAAATGTGTACTTCATCTTAACAAAAAAGCCAGAATGGATCAGTTTTGCAAAAGCTGGAAGTATTGTTTACATGCCTGAAAATAAGTACATCTCAGAAATGAAAAAATCCCCCCCTCCATTAAAGCTACGAATGTGTTTAATGAACTACTACTCTAGAATAGACTATGACTTGGAGGCCAACGACATGGAGCAGCTGTGTGTAGAGGAAGTTGAGCTGCTGCAGGCACTGCCTGATGAAGCTGAGAGGCTGAGGTGTTTCAGAGAGCGACATGATCTGCAAGCAGCAATGCAACTTGCTATAGGTACTGAAGTGACTGTGGAGGAAGCTGGGAAGAAGCTCAGAGGCATCATTCACTACATTGGACCAATAAAAAAAGCATCTATTTATTGTCCCATACCAGGATCCTTTTTTGGAATCGAACTACAGGTTTGATGGTTTTTTTTCTTACTCCTTCTGGCATATCCACAAGATATACACATATTATAGGTTTCATTTTGGTTTGAGATTTCTGCCTCCAAGCAAAGACAAGTGGTAGTGTTTCAAACTGGGTTTGTTAATATACACACCATACTACTCCACAATTAAATGGCAAGAGCAGGTTTTTGAAGTGATTTGAACATTTATAAACATAAGTAAATAAGACTGAATCATTACCAGGTTCATAAATATTTAGACCCATTGCTCAGGACTGGATTAAAGTTCCTTTGAAAGGAGTAAGTCTTTTGAGAATAATCTTACAAGCTTGGCACATTTTCCTCAACTCTCCCTTGTATTTTTCTTTCAAGTTCAGCCCAGTTCTTCAGAAAGCATGAATGCACAGTCATTTAAAAAATATATATATTTTCTGAGAACCTCGATTGGATTCAGATCCGGAGAAGTTTTCATGGCAATGTGCATCAAGATCCTGAGCACCTAATGGGTGTTAACTCAAACGTACTATGGGTCAAGGTCACGATTGTCATCTCATGGGCAATAACCTGATGAATTGTGATAGATCATGAGCTGGATGAGCTACCACATTATTGATGTCCCAGTTTAGCTTGGCTGGTCAAGCAGAGCTACAAAGATTTTGAAATGTATCCAGCTGTGAGTAATGGGGGTTGCCATCTTTTTGGGCACTTAAATTGCCACAGAGATTGTCAGATACAATCCTGTCTCACAGACAAATTTAAGTTGTGGAAACATATCAAGGACAACTGACAGAGCCAGTATGAACCATAAAAATGTCTGTATTGTAAAAATGTCTCTAAAGATGATACTTCAACCATTTATTTTTGAATAAATCATTAAAATACCCTCAAATTTGTTTTGGGAGTATTTTAACTTGCTTTGTCATTGTGGAGTGGTGTATGGAGACAACACAAGCAATCAAAAGTTGAAAGGGTGCACTGCTTCATGCTTGAAAAAGCATCCATTTTTTTGTAAGGTCACTATTTCGAATAAGTTTCAAAATGTCTTGTAAAACAGTACACTAATTGAAATCATATAAATGTAAAAACCTCACAAGCTGAAGCCAGGTGGAGCCATTCAACTCCACAACTGCACAGCATGATTGTAGTTTGCAAAGCAGAACAACTGGTAGAGAAATTTAACTGAGGTCTTGTGTGACATCAGTTTTAATCTGCTCTGCTTCTTTTTCTCCAGGGACCAGACAGAAGAAAGGGCTACTGTGATGGGACCTATGGGGGTGAAAGATATTTCAAGTGTGACAAAAACTGTGGCGTTTTTACCCCATTCAACAGAGTCAGCTCTTTATTACCCCCTGTCCATAAGCCATCCCTACAGTCAGAAAGGCTAGAGTTGGGAGACAGAGTTACTTGCTTCATCGATGATAAATTTCGCTATGGAATGGTGCTGGATTTACTGGAAATAGGTGGACAATGTTTCGTTCAGATTTCCACGGTAAGTAATATTCCATTTTTTTAATTCCAAAATCATATCAAATGTAATTTTGTGCCATAAATCCACATAGCTTATTCTACAAAATCAGATTTTTATGTTTTCAAAGAAATAATAACAAATAATAGGGACTAAATTATTACCTGTTTAAATTGTAAGCAGACTCTTTGTTATGAAACACACCTGAGATTTACAGCATCATCATTTCTTCTAGTAAAAGTAATCACTTAATTACATTTCTGTTGACAATTTAGAGGCGCTAAAGCATTTACCTTTCCGTCCTGACATCAGCAGCTGTGTGTCTGAACATAAACCAGCATGAGCTACATGTATATGACTTTACTGCTTCGGTTGTGCCATACAGTATGATGTACTACTGGATTGGTGGATTTTGTTTTGTTTACAGATCTCGCTGTAAACTGGGTCTAACTGGCTGAAACCCAGCTTCACATTCTGTGCAGGTCACTCGACTGACAGCTGCTCTGTGTGTGAAAATGACTTTTATAAAATAATGCCTTATTTTTATAATGATTAATAATAAAAAAAAATCACATTTAGGATATTCACTCTACAAAATACATCCATGTGGCAGAACACAAATACAAAGACCACAGTCTTAAGTTACATTCATCAGACTGACTAGTGTTTACTAAATGCTAATGCTAACATTGTCATAGCTAGATTCATAATAGCTTAATGTTTGATCGGAGATGGGGATTCAGAACTCACTGGAGTGGGTAATTTAAATCATGCCATTGTCCCAGAATGGTCCTGTAAAAGTCTGGATTGGAATCCAATTGAAAATAGCAGTGCACTGATAATTATCCTGTCTGATGATATTCTGTCATTTACGTGCTCCTGCTTTTCTTTGAGTTTACAGTTACAACCAAACTTTGTTAAGACTCTCTAGGAGTATAGGACAGTAATATTTCCTTTGTCTGTTGGTGTTTTCAGGACAAAGATGAATCTGGAAAGACGGGGGGTGAAGTTAGAGTTCCATTAGAAGCGGTTGTCAAAGGAGAGCTGACTGCAGGTTTGAGGTCTTTTTACATTTGTTTGTTTGTTTTACACTTGCATCATGCCTCAGCCAAACACATTTTTCATTGCAGAGGGAGAGAGCATGGATGTCGATACACCCCCAGAAGCTGATACAGATTATCTCTATATGGGTCTGAGTTTGAACTCTATGGTAGAAGTGACTCTGGGTGAAGGCAACACATATGGAATTATTCGCTGGATAGGCAAGCTGCCTGATCGAAGTGAAACTATGGTTGGCTTGGAACTGGTAAGTCTTTACTCATCATCATTTAAAACTGTTTTGCATATTTATGTTTTAGTTTGCGTTTAATGTTGGGTTAAATTTCAGACATTGGTATAATCAGTCTGTATTCTGATCTGCAGGACGAGAACAAAGGAGTGAGTGATGGTACTTTTAAAGGTCAGCGTTATTTCAAATGTCCTGTGAAGAGAGCCCTGTTTGTGAAGCTGAGCTCATGCCGGCCTGACTCACGCTTTCAGAGCACATCATCCAATCACAATGAGAAAATGCAGCCTGAGGACACTGGTTAGTACAGGATGGACAAACCTACACTCTATGGAAAAATGTATTAGGCCACACCTCTTAATCTTAATCTTTGAATTCAAGAGGCCACAGGTATATAAGACTCGAGCACCTAGCCACGCAGTCCGTTTTTCCAAACATTTGTG